ACAGATGTTTTCTGTAAGTCTTAAAGGCGCTATACCCGTTTCTGCAAGGTTTGAATGTTTAGCACCGCCCCCCAACTCGCTCAATGGCTTCTCATTTCCCCTGCGCTCTCATAACACAGAGCCATCTAGTTCAATTTGCGATCCGACATGTGTGCTAACATTAGCACAACTTCTTGTAAGCCGTACAACAATCACAGATGAAATGGTACTAAAGCAACGCACTGCTAACACAATATATAGGCAAAAGAATACTGCTAGTTTCGCATTCGAATGTCTTCATTTAACATTAGAATATATTTGAGTATTTAATTATAATTTATTATACAGCTCCTCACAGCAGCAGCACTCCATTGACTTGAATGCAATTCTACCGATCATTTTTTCTTGATAACAGAACTCTCAAATCAATAATGACCGCTGCCCTTTGACAATGCAATCTCTGTTTGTAATTCAGGTGTGTGAAATACTAACACTACTCCGCAAGTACAACGAGAGAAGCTAGTGGAGCTAGCCACGCCAGCCACGCTCAATAATCAACTACATATCTCTCAATCAACACCATTAAATGTTAATCGGACAATACAGTATACATATACATCCTTAACACACATGCACAGACTTTTTCAGAATTTATTGTTATCATTTTCATGACCAAATTACTATTTTAATGTGACAAAAAGCGATTGCGAAAAACCCGGAAGTAACTATTAACATAGCAAAGGAAGGTTTCTCACCCATCATCTGTACTTCTTAGCAGGTTTTCCCGACGTTTCGTCCTCAATCCAAAGGACTTCTTCAGGGAATGAATTCTCCAACGCGCGGTCTGAGAATTCATTCCCTGAAGAAGTTCATTCCCTGAAGAAGTCTTTTGGATTGAGGACGAAACGTCGGGAAAACCTGCTAAGAAGTACAGATGATGGGTGAGAAACCTTCCTTTGCTTTGACTAATCCCTGTACGACTGAGGGCTTACACAAATTTAACTATAAATAGAGTAAATAAACAGGTATAAGAAACATGCATGTATTCCCATTGGTGGTGATGACTCGGGGCATGGCTGTGGAGGGCTGGTGTGTGCTGCCGGGATCATCCTCTGCGCAGTTTGTCTGCTGCTATAGTGCTGCTCGTTGTCTCTGGGACCGGTCGGGGTGAGGTGCTGAGCCCGCTGCGGCGTATCATTCAAATGTGATGCGAATTGGATGAATTATTATTTTTATGAAACATTATGATTTATCATAATATACATGGGGTGGGAGTTTATAAGTTTTTTTCTTCTTCCCACTCCATTTTCGAGCTCTTGGAGTGTGCTTATGAACAACAAGGCCTATGTGAATATGTAACAGGTGGTTTTATGTTTTATGTTTTTATTTTTCTTCAGGGCACAGGAGCATTAGTGAATCATGTTCTGTTCTTGTGCAATGTTGTGGGATGCTTGTTGTGTAAACAAATGTGTAATGTTATGGGCTCGAAAGAAATAAAGAAATAAACAAATGAAAAAAAATGAATGAAATGAAATGAACTATTAACATGTAATTCGAGGGAGCTAGCTAGCTTAGCTGTTACCTGCCTAGCACGTCCCGGTGGAACCCTTGGGAGCTAACTATTTTATTTGCAGTTATTGATTTCGAATTGTATGGGCTGTCTAATATGTGATCGAATATACATGCTTTTTAAATTTTAGAATTAAATTTGAATTTCGAAGCCGAAGCCCTAGTGTTTAGCAGCTCTGTAGAAGCTAGAGGACGCAGGCTGTTCGCTGCTCGTTCTGTGAGCGGAGGAGACCGAGCGGCCCGCTCAGACTCTACTCAGCACTTTTCACTGCTTGTAATTCTTACACAGCTGAATCAGTGACCTCAAGTTTTCAATTAAATTACGGATACAATATAATACAATACAATACAATACAATTTATTCTTGTATAGCCCTAGGTCACAACAGAAGTCATCTCAGAGGACTTAACAAAACCATTGAAATCACCAACACAGGTCAGAGAATCAACAGCCAAGACACATGGAGAATATAAAGCACACACAGAAGAAAATGTCCATACATGTTGTAGAATGCTAAAGTGTCGTGATCATCACCAATCCTTTCTGTTGGACACTAACTGTCCAACAAGACCCTCCTGCATCGACAAGGAAAAACTCTTAAAAAACCCAGTGGGAAAAAGTGAGAAACCTTGGAGGAGAACTAGGGAAACCCACAGGGAGGGAGACCCATATGAGAAAGGGATCCGCTCCTCCGGACGGACAGGCTAATGATCTAGGACCTAAGCTAGCTACAGAACGTGGGCCAGTGGACGCTGAACGTGGACAGGTCCGGCGCAGGACCGAAGCACTCCCAGGCGGGCCGGGCGGGGCAGTCCGCAGGCGCAGACGGAAGAGGCCAGGCTCAGAGATCCCGTCATCGTACCATGAAACAGACAATGGGACAACGGGTGAATAGCAATGAACAAACTACAGTCAGAATCCTAAAAATGCTAAACAGATAAAGTAGGAAGGAGGAGAGGATAGTGCTCAAGTTACCATACTTCTCCCAGCAAACTGACTCCCTATGCAGCTTGACTAACACTCTGAGGAGTTTAACCTTCTCCGAGTCTTACCTTCCTAGCCATATGCTAAACTAAAGAGGACTGTTTTAAACCTAGCCTTGAATAAAGAATAACATACAGCATAATATATAACATAATATACAACATAACACAATACATTATTGAATAATATATAACATAATATATAACATAATACAGCATATATATATATAATATATACACTACATATTATATATTACCTAATTATATGCTAAATTAAAGTAAAGTGCTTTAAGCCTGGCCTTGAATGTGGAGACCGTATCTGCTTCCTTAACATAAATGGGAAGCTGATTCCACAGTAAAGGAGCTTGGTAGCTAAATGCTCTGCCACCAACATAATACAACTTGTATGTAGTAATAAGCATTTTTATCAACTACTTAGAAAAAAAAATCAGGTATAGCTTCTTTAACAAGGTTTTCACACACACTTGCTGTTATTTTGGCCAATTCCTCCATGCAGATCTCTTCTAGATCAGTGTTGTTTTGGGGCTGTCACTGGGAAACACAGACTTTCATCTTCTTTCTAAAGATTTTCTTTAGGGTTGGGATCTGTTGAGATCTCTTCTCCGTGTACACCAACCACTGCATCCAGCCACAACTCTATTAAGCTCATCAAGTTCACGGACGACACCACCTTCATTGGACTCATCTCCAACAACAACGAGTCGGCCTACAGGAGGGAGGTGGCCTGGGTAATAACCTGGAGCTGAACGCCCCCCACCCTCCCTGTTGGACTCCCCCATCGCCTCTGTAGAGTCCTTTCCTTTCTTGCGGACCACCATCACCCAGGACCTCAAGTGGGAGCTGATGATTAGCTCCCTCATCAAGAAGGCCCAGTCGAAGATGTACTTCCTGCGGCAGCTTAGAAAAGCCAAGCTGCCTGCACAGTCGGTGCTGTTCTACACAGCCATCATCGAGTCCATCCTCACCTCTTCCATCACCGTGTGGTTTGCTGGAGCCACAGTCAGGGACAAGCAGAGACTACAGCGCATCATGAGCTCTGTTGAGAAGGTGATCGGCCGCAGCCTCCCATCGCTGCAGGACCTCTACGACACCCGTGCTCCAGGCCGGGCATGTCGTATCACAGTCGACCCCTCTCAACCTGCACATGGATTGTTCCAACCTCCCCTCAGGCAGGAGACCTGGTCCATTCGTACCAGAACCTCCCGCCATAAGAACAGTTTCTTCCCCTCTGCTGTTGGACTTCACAACCTTGTCCCTCGTCATTTATTAAGTCATTCTACTGCCCTTCATGAAGTCACTTTACTGCCCTTTAAAAAGCCATTTACTGCCCTTTCTAAAGTCACTTTACTACCCTTTATGAAGCCACTTACTGCCCTTTATAATGTCACTTTACTGCTGTCACTATTGCACTGCTTACTGCATTTTGTGTGCACCATGTGCTCTTGTATATTGTACATAGTAATTGTAGTAATTGTATTTACATTTTTACAACTTAGAAGTGCATGCTGATTTTTGTTATGCCTTACTCTATTCTTTATCTCTCTTCCTTGAGTGTTGCACCGAGCCAAAGCAATTTCCTGTGACTTCCTGTTACTTACATGGCCATAAATATGGTTCTGATTCTGATTCTGGAGACTGGCTGGGCCACTCCAGGACCTTGATCTGCTCGGGGGCTGTGTTTGGGATTGTCATGTTGACATACCTACAGTAGCCACCTTTCAACCTCAAAGCACTTGCTCCAGATGGTAGGAGGTTTTCACTCAAAATCTCATGGTTCATGGCCCCTTTTTTACTTTGCACAATTGTCCTGGCTCTTTTGACAAAAAACAGCCCTGAACCTGTTCTTAATTTTTTTTTCCTCATTTTGTCTCTCAGAGTTGAGGTCTACCTCTCATGAGTAGTTGCTCATCTTTTTAAGTGGGGTTTCAAACCTGAAGGCCAATGCTCTTCCAACTGAGCCACTGCCCCATCATAAACATTCAAAGCTTTAAATTAGAACACCCTTATCACACCATTACAATACACAACCAGTTATTAAGATAAAGAGATACTTCACTCGTCCCAAAGAGGGTACATTTCAAAACAGTAGGAATGAGGAGCACACAGCGCGAGAAAGTGAATATTGAGTATACAGTAGCACAAAATATATATAATATATATATATATATATATATATATATATAAATATATATTATATTTATATATATATATATATAATAAGTCTCTATTTTAATAAAGAATCAGTATGAAAATAAACTGTTTAAAATATATAAAAATATACTCAAAAAGAGTATGGTGAAAGAGCTGGTGAAAAGAAGCATTTTTTTTTTTTTATCCAAATGCAAACAATATGAGACCATTTAATTTGTACCACAGATTGGGAAACACAGGTTTAAGTCATATATGATGTTTGTCCTGTTTGCAGATGGCCCTGTGAGGAGACGACCAATGGCGTTCACAGGCAGCGCCCTCCGTGAGTACTGACACATCATCACCAATTCAGTGCTTTTAAATCCAAGAGAATTTCAGTTTTTAGCTGGATATTCATTTATTTAGTTGGCAGGGACATTTTACATTGAGTAAATAAATAAGTAATCTTTATTTATTCAGCACCCTAAACAAACCCATTGCAAAGTGCAGAGGCTTCTCTTCAGTAATAATGAAAACAGTAATATGAATCATTATAATTATAATATAATTCAAGTCATGTATGAGATTTTCACTGATGCTGTGATCTGACATAAATGCACACTCAAGATTTGTGTGCGTCTTTCTGTGTCCGTGCCTCTATGTCTGTATGTCCCTGTCTCTTTATATGTGTCTTTGTGTGCATCTTTTCTTTTGTGTGTGTGTGTGTGTGTGTGTGTGTGTGTGTGTGTGTGTGTGTTTGTGTGTGTCTCTGAGCAGGGATCCAGTGCGATGAGAACCTCCAGTCCATGCTGGTCGGGACGGTCATGAGGAAGATCAAGTCTCGCACCTGGAAGAAGCAGCGACACTTCATGCTCCAGGACGACTGCATGACCATCTGGTACCAGTCCAAGAAGGCCGGCAACGCACACTCCACATGTGAGATCACTCCACCGACACAAGCATTCTGCCACATGCTGTCTTCATCTTACTAGAAAACATGTATTATTTTTCACACCATATTTTGTGAACTATAAAATGCACATATGTATAAGCTTTTTTTTTCACATACATGCCAAACTCAATTATAAGCTGCAGGTTTTCATGTTGTACTGTAGCAGATAGTCGACTGTTTTTACTAGTCACAACAGGATTTAATGAGTGTTTAACAGCCTAACAGTTAGCTTCCATGACTCATTCACCTTCATGTTGATGGATGAAGATGCACATATTAGCCGCATCACTATATAAGCCACAGGGTTTAAAGAACTAGAAAAAAGTAACAACTTACAGTTCAGAAATTACGGCAAGAAAGGGCCCATGGTAGTCACTATTGACGCTTTTGGTCAAGAGCTGATTCACTTTTCTGTCTGGAAAAGCTTTTGCCAAATACATGCATGGGGTAGAACCAGACAAAGCGCAAGTATGAATTTTTTTACATTGTAATTGTGACATTAAAACAGTAGAATCTTTTGATCATCTTGAATGCATAATCCATTGCATAGCTGAAGGTAAATCATTCTTTCACATTGTTTCATGTTTAAAAGCTAAATGAGCACAAACACGCCTCATGTTTGTCATTATCTTGTTTCTCTCTCTCAGTCTCGGTTAGCGATGTGGAGGCCGTGCGGGAGGGCCATCAGTCCGAGGTGCTCCTGTCCATCGCAGACGAGTTTCCTCCAGAGCGCTGTTTCACTCTGGTCTTCAGGGGGCGCCGTGGGAACCTGGACCTGGTGGCTGAGTCCGAGGCTGAGGCCCAGTCCTGGATCAAAGGCCTGAGGAAGCTCATCGAGAATGTGGAGAACATGGGGGAGAGAGAGAGACTGGACCAGTATCCTTTTCAACACACACAGGGCTTGAACACTATGAGATACTGCATGTTACGACCCAGCTCAGCTAGGGTGAGGGAGGTAACAAATTAAAACCAAGATGTTGAATGGAAAAGCAAGTATTTAATAAAAGGCAAGTGAATGATAAGGAAACAAATCAAAAGGACACCACAGGACATAAGGGGGTAACTCAACGTTACCAAGATAAAAGCTACACTAAACACTAAACACTAACCCACCTAAAACAAAACACTAAACTGACTGTTGCCTCAACAGAAACGAAGTGTCACAAAAACAAAACTCCAACGTGACAAATAAAAAGAGACAAACCAAATAAAAGCTATAAGGACTGTCTATACGTCATTGTCACCACTGTGACAAAGACAGACACTTTCGTAAGGACAGTTTGGCATACCAGCCACACACAGGCTGGCAGCCTCGAACAGGTGTGGAGTGTGGCCTTAAGTGGAGACTGACTCCAGGTGGGGGAGATGGACCGGCCAGGTGCACTGCCGCTCCTCCAATCAGCACCCGAGTCACAACCTCCGGGAGGCGGGAGGGCCAGTGAATGACCAATGACAGGCCAGGGATCTTCAGACATGAGGTTTCCACACACACACACAAAATACAAAAACAGGGAGCAATACATAGTTCCCACATGACGTCACTACATACGGGGATTTGCCGACCCGGCGCCATTTCTGTTGGCATGCTGTGGGCAAAACAATAGAAAAAGAAGCTGAAACGTGTTAATGTCGTGATAAAGTTGAAAATGGTCATCTCCTGCTGGGTCAATGGATGTTCAAATCGTGCCGGAGGTTCCGTTAAACTTGGATTTTACAGTATACCCATCATTAGACTTCATGAATGTGAGAAGACTAAGCTTTTGTCAGAACAACCACGGAGGTTATGGCTTGCGAAGATAAACAGGCAAGAAACTCCCTCAAAACACGCAAGAATATGCTCGGAGCACTTTGTGTCAGGTGCGTATCGTATCTTATAATGTGTTGACAGACGTAATTTACTCAGTACTAACTTGTGTATGCTGATATCTGGTAACTTGAGAGTTTCATTATTTAGCGTTAGATTACTTTATTATGAGGAGGATCGGTGTCGCGTCCGAGGCTCTCGAGGGCAACGTAAATGTATTAAATAGATAATAATAGTTCTATGGTGGGCTAAAACAATGTTCACAAACAGCATTGCTTCTGTAAAAAGATCTGTGTCAGAAAATAAACTGCTCTTTACGCCTGGAAAAATCAGTTGCCCACCATTCACCAAAACATACGGTCAAAAACGCGGAAATAAACAATAATACATGTCCGTGTGGCATTAGCATTAATTAAATTAATTGTTAATATAATTAAAATAATTAAATGGAGCTCCAACTGGTATTAAATCTAAAGTTTTTGAGAAATGTTTGCATTGCTTGTTAATTTTTGCTGCATAATTTGATCAAATATGTAAAACATGTCCGTAGCACGTTAAACTGTGGTGCCATTGTATTAATATACAATTATTTGCTCAAAAGTTGCCCTTTTTTTCCAATTTGCGTTTGAATATCTACATTTATTCTCATTCTTCTGTTTAATGGAATGCACAAACACAGCAGCGTGCCATCAAAGATGGCGTCTCCGAGGAGGTCATGTGACATTCATTGGTCTGTGGGAACTATGTATATGTAGGCTCAGGGCCGTAACACTGCATAATATTATACTACGCCGTAAAGAGAGTGAAATACCGGAGTGACAGAGGAATAACTTAACGCAGAGACATAGGTTCAGTTTGGCTTCATGCGTTCTTCACAGGTGTCAAGCAGAGGGCCATTTATTAATATTGCGCACCGGTGTGTAGCCACGCCCACACAGAAAATAGGTCACTGGGTCAATTGAGGACATACATTCAACACCCCCACTTGTTCCTTGATTGACAAAAACACAAATTTACATGTCCCAAAATATATTACAATAGTCATATTCCAAATAGGCCACCATAGTCTCTGTTGGGCAGTACACAAGTTGAATGTTTCCATCTGAAATAGCAGATCGCACAAAATGATACTTTATGTCGATGTGTTTACATCGCTGTCGACACACTGGGTTTTTTGAAAGAGCAATCGCACCCTGATTGTCTTCAAAGATTGTCACAGGTGTAAAACTTTGACTGTCCATCCCAGATAACAAGTTCACAAGATACAGGCTTTCCTGGCTGATGCTGATAGAGCCATGTATTCAGCTTCACATGTAGATAAAGCAACAGTAGATTGTTTTTTCGACTTCCATGAAACAATAGGTCCACTCTCACATAAGCTGAAACAATATCCAGTAACACTGCGTCTGTCGTTCTGGTCAGCCCGCCCAGTCAGCATCACAGTAGGACACAAGTTTTAAACTTACATTTTGTTTCTTGTAACACATTTCTTGATTTACAGTGTATTTCAAATACCTCAACACATGTTTAGCTGCAACCCAATGTTGTTCTCTAGGTTCAGAAAGAGAGACAGTTTACTCACAATGTAACTCAAGTCTGGACGTGTAGACATCATAACATAGATTAAACTACCAACCACTTCACGGTACTTCTTTGGATCGGCAGCTTCACCCTCATTGTCAAATTTCATTTTCATCTCACATGGGGTTAACCTGGGTTTGCAGTGGGTCATATCAAATCTCTCAAGAACATTAGTGATATATTGTTTTTGATTCATTTTGATTTCCTCTTTTGTTTGGACAAAATCAATGCCAAGGAAATGTCTTAGATTTTCCAAGATCTTTAATTTTGAATTTGGCCCCCAACATTTCCTTCACATCATTGAGGATTTGACCATCACCCGCTGCAATAATGAGATCGTCAACCCAAATTAACAACATCACTTTCTCATTTCCAGTTTTTCTGTACACACAATAGTCAGCATATTTTGGACAAAACCATTTTCAACAAGAAAATCATGCAGCATCTTATTCCAGTTTCGTCCTGACTGCTTCAACCCGTAAAGTGACTTATTGAGTTTACAGACTAACTTTTCTCCTGTTTTTGACTCTACTTCGAATCCTTCAGTTGCTCCATATAAATGTCACAATCTATAGGGGCGTGTAAGTATGCAGTTTTGACATCCATTTGATGTAGCTCTAAACTATACTGAACTGCAAGCTGCATCAGAACACGCACAGAGGTCATATCAGCAGTGGGTGAAAAAGTTTCATTATAATCAATACCAGCCACTTGACTATAACCTTTGGCTACATATCTGGCTTTGTATATGGTTTCAACAGGACTCTCTTTTACCGCAAACACCCATCTACCCCCCACTGCATGTTTACCTACAGGTAATGTTGTCAAAGTAAATGTATCGTTATCTATCAGTGCGTCCATTTCATCCTTCATAGCTTTGGACCACTGCTCTGATTTAGAAGAATTCAAAGCTTCTTTTGGTGTTTGTGGAACATCACATGTCACACGATAACAATAATCAATATTAGTCAGTGCTAAATCTTCGTCACATTTTTAGTTCATAGTCATAATCTGTGTAAAATTGGGTCCGTTTCCGATCTCTTTTTGGATAACGAAAACCCTGGCTACTCTCACCATTTTGGTTTGTATCACACACCTCTACTTTGATTTCAGGTGGGATCACTTTTGTCTCGTCAGATTGAAACTGGATTTACCACCATCTTTTTAGGCTTTAAATGTTCATAAAACATGCCTTCATCTGTTTGTGTATCACATTCAGTAGAACCTTTAGTAATACATTTTACCAGCCTATTTTTAGAAACTTTACCAGTATCTGGATAAAACACCAGATATGCTGGACTGTTTTTATCATAACCAACAAATATGCCTTTTTCACAGCGTGTGTCTAGCTTTTTCTTATCATATTTATATGCATAACACTCTGACCCAAAAACTCATCTTAGACAGATCAGTTTTTTTCCAGTTAGCACAAAATATGGAGTTTGTCTAAGGCGTTTGTTGTAGCATCTATTTCTGATCATAGCAGCAGTCTGCACTGCATATGTCCATAGCTCTTTTGGTAACTTGCTTTCAATGAGCATGCACCTGGCCATCTCAAACAGAGTTCTCCAAGCTCGTTCTGCTGTCCCATTCTGATGGGGCGAATAAGGAGCTGAAGTTTCATGTCTTATGGCATTTTTACTGAGCAGTGACTGAAATAGACTCGACGTAAACTCTGTTCCGTTGTCTGATCTTAAACATTTGATTTTTCCATAAGGTGCTACATCAGCAATGAACCTCTCAGTAGCAGCAACAGTATCACTTTTGGCTTTAAGGAAATATGTGAACACAGCTCCAGAATGGTCATCAGTAAATCCTAGAGCAAATCTAAAGCCATCCTTTGCTGCAGGCTCTATTGGTCCAGCCAAATCTGCGTGAACAAGTTGTAAACTAACATTTGCTTTTTCATCATCTTCTCTACTTCTATTTTGGGCAAACTTTCCTTTTATACAGACTTCACATGTCAGATTAGCAGTTTCACCCTTATCTTTAATGTTCATTCCTTTAGCAACACTTTCCAATTTTAACACGTCATCATAATTGCAGTGACCTAATATTTTATGCCACGTATTAAGGTCATAACACACATTGCACTGATCAGTATCATTGTGAACAATACTCAAATAAAACAGTCGGTCATGCATTTGAATATCAAAACTTGTACCGTTTTTATGGATGAGACGGTTCTGTCCTTCTTTGAAGATGACGGTGGCTCCTTGCGCTGTAGCCGCTTTAACAGAAAAAATGTCCTGTGAAAATGATGGAACGTAGAGCGCTTCCATCAGCTTCACCTCCACGACACGGCCTTTACTGTCTCTCAGACGGATTTTAGCGGTGCCCTTCTTTTGCGCAATACCACTGGCGCGCTCTCCATCAGCCAACTCCAGAATGTGGCTCTGAGGTTTAAAAGATGGGTCAAACTCCTCGAATCTTCCGATGTCCGTGATGATGTGCTTCGTCGCTCCCGAGTCAACCATTAGACCTTTCACTTTGACACCACCGATCGGAGCATCCTCAAGCTTGAACGCGAACGTGTGGTCCTCCTCATCCACCGCTTGCTTCACCTTGTCCCGCTGTTTACGCCGACAGTGCGCGTCTTTGTGCGTAGAACTCCTGCAGAAGCTGCACCACTGCCTCAGCTCCCGGCGCTCCCCAGCAGCTGACGCACACTCCGCTGCTTTGTGCCCTTTCTGGCCACAGGTGTAGCAGGTGAGTCTCGCGCTCCAGTTTTCTCGTCCTCCAACTTTCATGACACTGTCTTCTCCCGAACCAGAAGCTCCAAACTTTTCTGTGCTCTCGTAGCTTCGGAGTTTTGTTTTAAACTCTGCAAATGTCAGTGTATCATCACTCTGTGTAATGTGAACAGAAAATGGTTTGTACACTTCAGGCAGGCCTTTTAATATCATTGCAGTCAATAACCCATCGCTCAGTGTCTCTCCTGCATTACGTAGCGCCGTGATAGCAGTCTCTGCACGGATAATGTAGTCCGTGACGCTCTCATTGACTCCTTTTTGAAGAGATGTCAGCTCCGTGTACAAACTTATTACGCGCGGCTTCCCTTTGCCTGCGTAATGATCACGGAGGATCTGCAGCGCCTTTCTGCCATCATCAGCGGCTTCTCTCATTACAAGAGACAAACTTTTATCGTCCAATAGTTGAATTAGAACTGCGTACGCCTCTTCATTCTTACTGGCGTCTTCCACGGCATTCTCCACACCTGCCGCGGGGGCTTGACTCAGTATGGTGCTTTTGAGATCAATCAGACGTAAGTGTGCCAGAAACTTAGTCTCCCACAATTCATAGTTCTTTTCATCTCCGTCAAAACATAATCGGTTCCATCGGTTTCCAAACTCTTTACTGGGCCCATAACCTGTTGGCGCAGCCATCGCCGTAAAAGAGTGAAATACCGGAGTGACAGAGGAATAACTTAACGCAGAGACATAGGTTCAGTTTGGCTTCATGCGTTCTTCACAGGTGTCAAGCAGAGGGCCATTTATTAATATTGCGCACCGGTGTGTAGCCACGCCCACACAGAAAGTAGGTCACTGGGTCAATTGAGGACATACATTCAACAAAGACATTGACAAGGTTAGAAATATTTGAAATAAGATTTGTTTTACATCCAACTTTGCTTTTGTCAAAGAATCCTCCATTTGCAGCAATTACAGAATTACACCAAAAACCAGACATTTGCAGCTAGAATAGTCATTTACCACATAAGCAATGTCTAGTGTATTTCTTTACAGTTAAGACTAGTTTAAAGTTATCTACAGTGCTTTTCCTTCAAAAATAAGGACATTTCAATGTGACCCCAAACTTTTGAATGGTAGTGTACATCTCAGCACAACGATTACACACATCTTTTTCCCCATTTTATTACCTTCATATGATTCTTTCTCTGCTTTTGGTTGTGCTGCCTTCTGTCACCGGGTGTTTTAATAACTGCACTCACTGTGATCAAAAATGCCAAGACATTTACTATTGATTGTGGATCAGGCTTCGTTCTCGGCGCCGCAGCCTTCCCACTGCGAGGCGAATGTTACGACGGAATAAAACCGCAGTAATACGCTTGCTAAAGGGCGGCATGCTGGGTAATGTAGTCTCTCAATTAGACACAAAGTGGAGCCAAAGACAAACCATGTGCAATGAGCCAGAAGTGGAGCCTTTCCTGCTCTCAGCACGATGATAGAAAGATGCACAAATCAATCTTCCATTACCACCTCCGAAGTTCCATGTGCAGAATGGTTTTATTTGAAAGAAAAACTGCTCCGGTTTCCCCTACCACTAAAAACATGCACAACAGGTAAAATCTTCCAACTCCAGTCATGAACAAGCCGAATATCAACATTTGCAGATGTCTCCCCAGGCGCTGTACTAAGGCGACTACTGCTCAAAAGCAGAGGACAAATTGCACATTTAAAGAATCCTCCTTTATGGTATCCAATTGTTTACATGTCCTTATGAAGAGCTTTTATTTTAGAGGAGCGCTACCGCAGGAACCTTCAACCCCACCGCTGTCACACTGTACAATAAGTCACTTCAAGTCACCAATGACCTGCACTAGAACTGAAAAACCAGCACAGCTATTGCCACTTTTTATAGTACATTAGGGATGTAAAAAACTATGAATTTTCATGACCGACCACCGAGCCTCATTAACCGGTTGAAA